ACAGGGTGCCCAGGGTAGTGGTGGAGTCCCCATCCCTGGAGGGCCATGTAGATGTGATGCTGAGGGACATGGTTTAGTGGTGTCCTTGGCAGGGCTGGGTTAATGGTTGGGCTTGATGATCTCAAAAATCTTTTCCAACCAGAATGATTCTGTGGTTCCATGATCTTGTAAGCCTGCATGCAGGTGGGTTTGGGAGCAGGGAGGCAGCAATGCCACCTGGACACCCCTGGCTGCAGCACCTGCAGCAGGAGGCTGGGGAAACCCCCGGCTGTGCTTTGACTTGCAAACAGCCTTTAGCCCTCAGGAAGAGGGCAAAAAATAGAAGTGTCACTGGCGAGTCATGTTTCTCACAACAGCAACCTCACGTTTCATTGTGTGGCCCCTCCAGCCTCCCTTGGAAGGGAAGAGGTGTGTGTTGTCCCACAGGTACCACAGGCCACATCGAAGCTACCCCAATTTGCTTCTGATGCATTCAGGAAATGAGCTGTCTCTGCTATGATTCAGCTTGTCCTACAACCATCACTCCTCTCCTGTGTCACGAGGCAGGTGGTGTGGCAGGGAATTGGTGCCTCCTGCTGCAAAGGAGCTTTGTCTAGGACAAGATTCAAACTTATCTGACCCAGCTTGTCACGCTCACAAGGCTGTAAAATGCAGCCCCTCAGGAGGTCAGGCTGAGAAAAGGGGAGGAGGGACTTTTGGCAAGGGCATGGAAGGATAGGACAAGGGGTGATGGCTTTAAACTGGAAGAGGGGAGATTTAGGTTGGACATTAGGAAGAAATTCTTTGATGTGAGGGTGGTGAGAGCCTGGCCCAGGTTGCCCAGGGAAGCTGTGGCTGTCCCATCCCTGGCAGTGTTGAAGGGCAGGTTGGATGGGGCTTGGAGCAACCCGGGCTGCTGGGAGGTGTCCCTGCCCATGCAGGGGGTTGGGACTGGATGATCTTTCAGGTCCCTTCCAACCCAAACCAGTCTGTGATTCTATCATTTTGACAGCTGGGCTGACCCCATGGGCTTTGCTCCCTGCATCCAGACAACAGATAACCTGCTCCTTGTCCTTTCCCACAGGTGGGAACCAGGATGGCAAATTCAGTGTTGGCTTCAGGGATGGAGTGGTCAGGACAGTTGTGAGCCTGGACAGGGAGACCGTGGCATCGTACACGCTGATTCTGGAGGCCATCGGTAAGGAATTCCCACCATTCCCTTGGGAAAGCTGCCACACAGCCACCTAAGGTGTCCGTGCACATGCCAAGCTACCTTGGAAAAGCAACAGAGAGACAGCAGCCTTGGTTTGGTGTTGGCATTTCACGACCTGCATGAATACATCCCGGTTCCACCTCAACTTGTGCAGACAACAAATTCTGCCCTTGAGCTCATCCAGCCCCCAGGCTTTCACCTTTCCGTGGGGGAGGCAAGACCATTTCCAAGAGGCTCCGTGCAGACCTGGGGCAAACCTGCACCCAGAAATGCCACTGCCACAGCACCCTTCCCCTAATGCCACACCAGCCCTTGGCTCTGTGGCTGCCTATTACTCCAGCTCCACCTGGCACAGGCAGAGGTCCTGCATGCCAAGCCCATCCTGGCTGTCACTCCCCCAGCTTTATAATGATGGGCCTGTTTACAGAAGACTTGTATGTCCCTTTTGAAAGGAGAAACAAATGGCCTGGTCAGAAATCTCAGGGGAATGGCATTGCAGGTGGCATGGGATGCTCCACCAGGATGGGCATGCAGGATCAACCCCAAAGTGGTAAAAGGTCCATTCTGCCCCTCAGGTGGGTATCCAGCTGCCTGTCACCAGATCCCATGGGCTCCAGACAGGTGGCTTTAGTGCTCACTTGGATCAGGCATGTTGGAGAAACCAGACCCGACGTATGCTCCCAATTGCCTCATCCTTTGTGGCAAAAGCAAGAGTCCCCCTGCCCCATCCTGATCTGCAGCCCATCAGCAGGTCCTGGTGCTCTTTGGCTGAGCTGGGCCTACAGAAAACCCACTGGGGCTTTTGCTTTTAGTCAGGACTGGCTGCTGCTGACCAGACCCACACCCTGCTTGCCTGCAGCAGCCAAGGTGCAGGCTGGCTTCAGAGGTGCTGCTGGACAGACCCCTGCCCATCTTCATCCCCCAAATCCCTGACCTACAGGAGAGCTGAGGAGAGACTTTTTACACCAGCAATAGGATGAGTGGAGCAGTTTCAAACTGGAAGAGGAAAGATTAGACATTAGGAGGCAATTTTTTGCTGTGCGGGTGGTGAGAGTCTGGCCCAGGGTGCCCAGGGAAGCTGTGGCTGGCCCATCCCTGGCAGTGTTGAAGGGCAGGTTGGATGGGGCTTGGAGCAACCTGGGCTGGTGGGAGGTGTCCCTGCCCATGCAAGGAGGTTGGGACTGGATGATCTTTAAGGACTTGCCAACCCCAAATCATTTGATGATTCTGTGACTTCCAGCAGCCCCTTCTAACACACATCCCCCTCTTAGTCTCTGGAGCTGCAAACCCTCTTTAATGACCAGTCCCACTGGTCAGTAGCTCCACAGCAGATCTTGGAGACAATTTGGCTGTTCCTTTCTCTTTCAGGATAGGCAGAAATAAAAAAAAAAAAAAGCCCCATGCTGTTCAGTGTAGAAAAGACAGAGGGTTGTAGTTCAGCACTTTTGGTCCCATTCTTTTCAGCAAGGAGGAGATGGAGGTGACCCAACCTCCCCTCACCTTTCTCTGTCCTCCAGACAACGGCCCCAGCGGGAACCGCCGCACGGGAACTGCCACCGTCTACGTGACAGTCCTGGATGTCAATGACAACCGACCCATCTTCCTGCAGAGCAGCTATGAAGTCAGTGTCCCCGAGGACATCCCAGCTGCCAGCAGCATCGTGCAGGCAAGTGGCTCTGTCCCACCAGGGTGAGTGAGGGGGTTCCCCACTCTCTCGGCCCTGGCACTGCGGTGGGGAGCTGCTGGAAGCCCAGGGTTGGCACATGTTCTCTTGTTCCTCCAGGCCAGGGCAAGATGTGGTTTTGCTTCTACACTCCCCTGCTCTTTTGCTGACACAGGGTCTGAGCAGTGGGAAGACAACAGCAGAGTTCCAAGGGAAAAAAAAATAAATCAGGGATTCACCCCATTTCTGCAGGGAACGAGAGGGGCAAAGCCACGCCCTGAGACCTCTTTGCATCCCCTCCCAGAGGAGAGATCTCCAGGAGGGAGGGAGAAAAGTGCATGCAGAGATTCTCGGAGAGGAGGAAAAACCAGCGGGAGAAAAGCATTTGGACTCTGCTTTCCTTTTTCTTCCTCTGTGAGGGAAGGGTGGGCAGAGCTGAATGGCTCAGTGAGCAGGGAATGAATGCAGGCATTCACTGGGCTTCCCAGCATCCCTTCAAATGCAGGGCTCTCCTGAAGCCAGCACCAAAAAAAGCTCTTTGCAGAGAGCTCCTCCTGCCTTGAATACCTCTCCCAGCCCTGGGAAAGGGGCAGCTTTGTCCCTGGTTCTGGAGGGCAGGGTGAGTCACCGGCAGAGAAGAAAGGAGCCTTTTGCCTCTCACAACAAAGGTTTTGCTGGGAGATGCCCGTGGTCCTGGGGGCAGCTGGACCCCAGGCATGGACCCTGCAGCTCCTCAGCACCTGTTGTGCCCTGGCACCATGTGTGTGATGCCCATAGGTGAAGAAGAGCCCTGCTGTGGGAATCTCAAACCAGCTCCACTTATAGAAAGGCTGGAAAGGGAGGGAACACAAGTCGGACCCTTATTTTATATTAAAATAAACCCCTTATTTTAGAACATGCTCCCCAAAAGAGGAGGATGCCCTTGGCAGTCTGTGGCACAGGAGAGGCATTGTTTGAGGGAAGGTTGTTTTTCACAGAACAAAATGGGCAATCACCTGGTTTTAGTTTATTTTACACCTTTAGTTTAACATTCACCTCTAATTTTCAACCTTTCACCTTTTATACTGAATGTCTCCCCCCTTCAAATACATTCCCGTGCTCCTGTGCCAACAAGAGAGTTTCTGAAAGTCTCCCCAGCCCCTTCTTCAAAAGTCAGAGTGTTTTTTTAGAGGAGAACTGGAATGTCCCAGGCAGCCCAGGGAGGTCCCAAAGCAGAGCTGCACCTCAGGAGGGTCATGAACCATGTGCAACCCAGAGAGATGGGGTTTTGTGCCCACCATGGGGCCTTGCCAGTCACCAACATGTCACCCAGAGGGGTGAACTCAACGGCTGAACATAGTGGGAGCTGCAGACCTGGCAGAATTAAACCACTTTGTCTTTTTCCTCCTGATACCTTGAAGCACATCAGCTTACCTGCTAGCTCTTGTACCCTTTCCCAGCAGGAACAGGCAGCTCAGCTTTGTGTGGAGCCTTTCCAAGCTGGAAGCAGCTGCAAGCCTCAAAAGGCCTCTCTATTTAATGCCTTTACAGGCCTGTTTACCTGCTCCTGCTGCTCATTTATGGCTGCAGATTTCCAGCAGGCAGCTGTAGTGTGCATCCTTCCAAGCATCAACCACAGCAGCCCATGGCTCCTTGCACTGGCAACGAGGGGGAAACAGGGACTGGGCAACATGTGGGGGGGGGGGCACAAACCTTCCTCCACTCACTCCAGAGCACAGCTCAGGAAGAAATCTTGGCTGAGGTCTGCTTTTTGGGGGAGCATCTGTGCCCCAGGATGCCTCTCCTCAAAGTTGCTCTGTCAGCCAGGCTGGTTGTTCAGGTGCCTAGCAAACTTGGGCAATGCTTTTCAAAAGAAATGAAGCAGCAACATTTTTTGGGGCTGCTCTGTGATAGCTGCTTGGGGGTGTAGTTTGGATGCCTCTGCTTTTCCTGCCAGGAAACAGTAACCTGGAAAATGTTGGGGAACCTGAAATAGCAAAATCTCGGGTTGCCTTGCTTGAGCCACTGCCTGGAAATGAGCTGCTTCAAGGGGCTCTGCTGGGATGCCCAGGACACCAGGGACTGCTTGAGGAGGGAGCTGAGCCTGAACCAAACACTTGGGAATAGAATAGCCACACGGGGTGAGTTAGTTCTTGCAGAGCAGGATCACATTTTGGTGGACTCCATGATGTCCCAGTCCTGGCTGGCAGGGGGGCTCTTGGTGCAGGTGGGCTGGCTGTGGGAGACCTGCCTGCTCCTCCTGAAGGTGTTGATGGAGCATCTCAAGGAGCCCAGTCGCTTCCAGAGCCTCAGCTGGGGCTCACTGGCATCCACTGGGTGATGGGGCATGAACTCACGGGGTCCCCAGTGGGACTGGTCCAGTGCCTGTGGCTTGCAGAGGGTGACGATGATGAGGAAGGTGGCCAGGAGGAGGAAGACGCAGACGAGCACGATGATGATGGGCAGTGAATCCGCCTTCTCAGGGGATGTGGTCATGGGTGGGACCAGCTCAGTGGCTGAAACCAGAAGCCCAAGGAGAGATGGGGTGGGAGAGGTCCCCTTGCCAGCATCCTCTGTGCTCATCTTCCCTGCAGTGCACAAGGTGACACAGAGAGGTGACACAGGTGATTACCACCTAGAAGCTGGGCAGACAGCCACCCTCTGTCCAACCTGATGGATTTTTGGCCTGCTTTACCATCCAAGGTCCTCCCAGCCATGTTTTCTGTGACACAGGGTGACAGGAGTCTGTCTGCTTTGCCAGCAGGCAAAGCACAGAGGTGGGATTTATACCTGCCCTGAGCTGAAGTGAAAAACCATCTGGCAAAGAAATCTGGCCCTGCTAGTACCAAGGACATGCAGTACCACAGCCCCAGAGATGACACTCATAGGAAACTCACACCCACATGTTGCATGAAGTTTTTTTTTTCTGGGAGCTGTACTCTAGAGAAGGTAAAAAATTCTACCCCTAGGCTGTGGTTTTGTCTCTCCTTCTTTCCCCAGAAATGTGGTACTGCTGAATTGTCATTTGGGGTTACCAATTGTTCCCCAAAGAAAACGGGTGACCAAAGAACTCCCTGTTGAGCTGCACTATTGCACTGGCGTTGCCTTCCTGTTTTGCAGGGGTGAGGTCTGACTCCCTCCCCCTGCTTGTGCCAAACATCCTCTTGGGTTAGGCATTTTGTTGACCTGGCTTTGGGTTCAGACGTGCTGCAGGTTTCTCAAGCCAGATCTGCAAGCAGTGATGCAAACCAGCTTCCCAAAGCCTCTCCTCAAAGTCCCCCCTTTTCCCCTCTCCCCACCAGCTCAGATCTCCCACCAGCTGGCATTCCTAGGGCAGTTTGCACCCACTCTTTTGCTCCATGCATCCTTCTTGCACCTGTGCCCAGCCTCAGATGAGGCTTCCATCTCCTCTGCTCAGAGATGAGGGGAAAATCTGCTGTGCCAACCCTCTGCAATGCGACAGCTTGGCTTGGCCCTTGGTGCTCTTGCCTGTGCGCTGGTAAAGCTTTACCAACCCTTTATGACACTGACTTTCCTGCAGAGACGTGGGAGTTAGGAGAAAGATGGAGAGCTGAGAGACTGGTTTGTGGCTGGGCAGTCTCCTGGCCAGTATGGATTTGGATTGAGCCAATTTAAAATTAAGAGTTTAGGAAGGGAAAGGCAGGGCTGGAGGGACTGGCAGGGGCTCTGGGTCTGCTCTTGCAGCCACCATCCCAAAGCCACAGAGGTTTGTGTAGGCAGCAGCCAGATAGTCACTGATAACACATCCAAAAAAGGGGGAGAGGAGACATCAGTGAACACGTCTCTAATTGCCAATTGGAAACTATGAGACGCCGCAGCAGAGATGGAGAGACAAGCATCAGTCACCCTGCACATGTTGGGGGAGGAAAGAACCTTGAGCAAATGTGGTGAGAGCTGCAAGGCTGAGCACTCAGAGGTCACTCAGAGCTCCCAGCTCCCTGCCTGGTCCTGCAGATTGGGACAGATTGCTCCTGCAGGATCCATGCAAGCTCTTCCTCTCCCCATGGTTCCTGCAGCCCATCCCCACAGCCCCACTGAGGGATGAAATCACTCATTTCTTAAGGGTTTTTTTTCTACAGCTCTCACCACTGCAGCCCCAAGTGCTCGCAAATATTAGTAAGTTTGCAGGAGACCTGCACACTGTTTCTGGGCTCCCCTTGCTGGCAATGAGACAAGATATGGATGGAGTAAGGTCAGAGGTTTATTTCTGATGTATTTCTGGAATACTTTGCATGCCTGGGCTTGGGCATGCAGAGCTGTGATGCTGATCATCACCTCACGACTGTATCAGCCTGGTCAGAGCTCGGAAGCTCTGGGGAGATGTGGTTGTTTCCATGGATGAGAGCTCAGAAAAAGGGAAAGGCAGAAATAGATGGATTGACATCACCTTAGCTCAGGTGAACCCATGTGTGCACTGCAAGCAGGCTCAGGGGTTGGAGCTCTCATCCCCTGCTCCAAAGTGATGGTTTTGCCTCTCTTCAACCCAAAATAGTTTCTGTATGGTGCAGCCTCCCCTTGCTTGGCTCAGCTCTGGGAGCAGAGCAGCCCTGACAGCTGTGGCCATGCCCAGGACCCTCCTGCTCCTTGGGCAGGCTGCTCCTTCAAGGGAAGGTCTCGGCTACTCCCCATGCCTGATCTCTAAACCCTTCCAGAACCAGAAGCCACTAAATCCCTGAGAAATCTTAGCACAGTACGTGTGAGCAGTGACTTTTTTTATAAGGCTGATAAGTTTTCAGTGTTTAAATGTAGACAAAGGGGATTGCTCCCCACCTCCTGCCTGAGCTACAGTGGTTTCAGCAGATTTTCAATTTTTAAAAAAAGTCACAACAATTGACATCAACTCTAACATGCCCTTGGGTGCTTGGGACCCAGAGCTGGGCATGAGGCAGCCCAGGATCAGAGGGAAAGAAGAGAAACTGGGAAAAAAAAAAAAAAAAAAGCTTCCAAGGAAGGTGGGGAGGAAGCAGTAATGGCTCTTGTGTGTGAGCAGAAGACAGGGAGTGTTATTCTGCCTGGCCTGGCACGGGTGGATATTTTGGCAGGATTTTTTCTCCTTCAAAGGGGAGAGATTTTTTTCTCTCCCCCTTTCTCAAATTCCTGCGAAGAAAAGGCTGTTCCAGGCACTTGTGTGCCTGTCATACAGCTCGGATGAAAAGCAGCTCTCTTTCCCCTCCCTGTCCTGCCTAGCACTGCTCTCCTGGAGCTCCCCAGCTTTTCCCAATGCTCTGACTCTTTCCAGTCCCTTGCTGGACGGCACCAAACACCCGGATAGCTGGGTACCCCACGGAGAGGGCAGTAAGTGATGCTGTACCCCATCACCCTCACAGGTAACCGCAGGACCTGCCCCCTCTCCCACCTCCAAGCCACACGAAGCAACGCGAAGGGGAAAGGAGGAGGGATGCCCGAGCCCAAACCCACCCCAGACTTTGCATCTCCCCGCCCCATCCCCTTTTGCAGCCCCTTTTCCCTGGGCGGCTGCAAGGCTGAGGGTGGCCCCTCTAGCCGGGGGCGATGACACGTCCCTGGGCTGTCTCGCTGGCCCCTCAGCCTTAGCTGGAGTGGCTGGTGATGGGTTTGCCGAGGGGCTTTGTGCTTCCCTACCTCTGCCCGGCTCAGCTCCGGCTCTGCCTCCTCTCCCACCGCGCCCCGCCGGCTGCCACCCCCTCCTCCCGCTGGAGGGCAAGGGATGGTGGGAGAGAGGTGGGAAAAAGAGATGGCAGCCCGGGGGGCGGGCCCGAGCCCCTGCCCAGCCTTTGCCAGCGCACCAGTGCCCTGCTGGGACCAGGGGTCGAGCCCCCCAGGATGTGTTTCCGAAGGGTGAATGGCACAGCAGGGGGCTGAGCTCCCCAAACTCCTGCTCCCCCTTTTCCCCAGCAACTCCGTGCCGAGCTGCTTGCTTTTTTTCTCTGGCCTTTTAGTCTTCTTCCTCCTTTTCTGACCCCTTTCCCTGCAGCCAGGGCTGTCTGAGAGGGGACCTGCAACAGGCTGGCTCTACCTGCAGCCCTCTGTCCAGGCATCAACCTGGCTGCACGAGGTGCTTTGCACCTGCAGCAGAAGGAGCTTTTTCCCCTCGGGGGGAGCAGGAGAAGAAGAAAAGCCAAGGCACCCCCCTCCTGCTGGCCCTGGTGATGTGCAAACGGCCAGCGCTGCGGTGAGGGCTTGGAATCTCGGTGGGAAGTGCTGGCTGCAGAGGGTGGGATGCAGCAGGATGGCAGCCAGGGAGGAAGCCCCGAGCCTGCTGCCCCACACCGGGTCCCACTTCCCAGCTGGCAGGCGGCGGGCTGGGCTGTGCAGGGAAAGCACTGCAGTGTTGCTCAGAGACACCAGAGGGGACCCGTGGCTCGGGTTTCATCAGGGGGACCGATGATTCTGTAGGTGCATGGACCGTGCTCAGCTCCTACCTACTGCTTGGGGTCTTGCGAGGACTCAGAGGTTCCCAGAGGACTCAGACCAGTGCCCAGACCCCCAGCTGCACTGGGCTGGTTGTACTCGTGTTTCTTATGGTATTTTTTTCATATATGCTGCTGCTTGGGTGACTTGGCAGCAGCTTGTGGTGGGTGAGAGGGCAAACACGAGCAGCTCTCAGCGCCAACAGACCCGGGTACAGACTCGTGCCCAGAGAGGTGGGTCGTTCCTTTGACATGGTGCAATGGGCTGGGTGCCCACCAGGCATTGGAGGAGCTTTTCTTGCCTGGCCCAGGACAGCTTTGTGGCCCAGAGGCTCCATCCCTGGTGTATCCCCACCAGAGCAAGCATTGGCATGCAGGGCAGGACCAATGGAGGCACCTCCACCAGCACACTGACCTGCAGGCTTTCATGGCATGTTCCTCAGGCTCAGCTCCCACCTCAAGATCCTCCTACACCTAACCTGGCAGCCAAGTGCTCCTGAGCCTGCTATCCTTGCTGGCTGGTGACAGGGGGAGGGTGACTTCTTTTTGCCTTGCAGTTGGTAAGCTTTCTGTCTCAGGTGGAGGAGCAGGATGCAGGGCAGGGTGGAAAGGCTTGTCATGGGCTGGAAACCCTTGCTCTTCACCTTCACTGGTCTTCTCTCCTGGTGCAGGTGCAAGCCACAGATGCAGATGAAGGCATTAATGGGAGAGTGTGGTACAGAATCGTCAAGGGTAAGTCCAGGTGCCCCTTGGTGCATCAGTGCATTGGCACCAGGCTCTGGCCAGCCCACACACATACCCTCCTTCTTCTCTCCATCCCTCTGCACGTTGCAGCCCACAGCAACATTTCTCCCACTCCAGAGCAGAACTTCAGCTCTGTTCTTGATTGCCAGGGGACACTTCATCCTTGATGGACACCTTGACCAGGACCAAACACTGATGTAGTTGAAGGCAGTGGGGTTTGCTTAATAACCTGCCATGGTGGTAGCCACACTGGTGACCATTCCTCTTGCTGTTCCCCCTTCCCAGGGAATGAGCACAACCACTTCCGCATCAATCCCAGCACCGGGCTGGTGATGCGCGGCG